CTCCTGAAAATCTACTGGCAATTTAAAATATAAAATTTCTATCGTCTGTCTTTACAGGAGATTATTCTGAGCTTTTGTATCTGGGGCCAATTTTGGCTTATGAGCTTAGTACATGCACTTTAAACCTTTCACATTTTATTTTTCATACTTCAGTTGGCTTCCCTAGCTTTTGTGAAACTCGACAGGAGCTGTTGTGCTGGTTCCCAGTGTCTCTACAGAGCTGGATGTCCATCTCCAAGGGGTCCTGGGGTGTCAGTGCTACCCTAAACCTCGTAGTGGAACCAGGGGGAATCTGTCACAGCTTTTATTGGACCTGTGTTGTAACACCAGGTTCAGATCTTTGTTTCGTTGGGGTTTAGGATCAAATGGTATTTGAAAGGGCTGAAAAACTGTCAGCCTTCATAAACCAGCTTGTTAAATTGAGATCTAATGGGAAAATTCATATGGCAATGAAAGCTCTTGATTAATTGGGAAGTGCTTTCTCTTAATTCACAGAATCCCAGAATGGTTTGGGTGGGAAGGGACCTTAAAGCTCATCTTGTTCCACTCCCTGCCATGGGCAGGAACACCTTCCTCTAGCCCAGGTTGCTCCAAGCCCCGTCCAACCTGGCCTTGGACACTTCCAGGGATGGGGCAGCCACAGCTTCTCTGGGCAACCTGTGCCAGGGCCTCACCACCCTCCTAGCCAAGAATTCCTTCCCAGTATCCCATCTCTCCCTGCCCTCTGACAGTGTGAAGCCATTCCCCCTTGTCCTGTCCCTCCATCCCTTGTCCAAATCCCTCTCCATCTCTCTTGGAGCCCCTTTAGGCTCTGGGAGGCTGCCATCATCATATAAAATGTGAAAATATAAAGAGGAAAATATGGAAGGTCACATAAGTTGTAACAGACTTTTCATCTTTCCTGGCTGTGGTACTAAAAGCCTTTAGTTCCAAACTCCAGTTTAAACCATTGCAGGCTGACTTATTTACTGTGTCATCTTTCATTTTAAGATTGATTCATGCTGCCCTGTAAAAGCTCTCTGTTAGGATCATTTTGTTTGGTTCTGAAATACGGTAACCTTAAAATGGGATGGGTTTTTAGGGTAGTGGCTGAAAAAGGTGGCAGTTCAAGTGTTTTTTTTGTGATGCAGCCGAGTTTGATCCGTGTCTTACTGGAGTGAGTTGGGTATAACATTATCCAGCCTGTGCAGCTCATCCTTGAAAACAGTTCTCTTCCTGATCCATAAGCAAAGATGGAGATTTCCCAGAGGTGAAAACAGCTGACATTTTCCAAAATACTTCTCTACCCTTCCCCCAGGATTCACATCCCCTCCTTGTCCCTGCCCCAAACCTGCTTGGTTCATTTTAAAGTTGCACCTTTGCTGGTGTTTCCTAACCCTGTTGTGGAAACTCTGCTGGGGTGAGTTTATGATTACCAGCCTCGTGACTGCTATTACAGAGGGAATTTAAACTCCTACCTGTTGTGGGAATGGACCAGTGCCTGCTGAATCCATTCCATGTGGTGTTAGGCTGCTCCTGGCTTTGCTTTTCCAGCTCTCTCTTGCTTGCTGACTTTTCCACCCTGTTCGAAACACACCGAATTTCTTAGGCCAGTGAAAAAGCCCAGAGTCATATGGGTAGAATGAATTATTTTTACAACACCCATAAGGCTTTTATCCAAAGGCATAATAGTAATTTTGGATTTACACAAGAGTGGTTTCAGCTGAGATCTACATTGCCCAAATCCCAGTTTTTATCATCCTAGAAAAGTCTTGTGGGGAGTTGAAAAATCAGGGGAGAGTGGCTTCCTTCAACCCCCACCTTCCAGTTTTACAAGTAAAATAAAAACTCATCCAAGAGACTCTCTGTGAGTAGCTTGGACACACAGGACTTAACAATTATTCCTGCACTCAGCCCAGCTTTGCTTAACACTTCCATGGCTGTGAAATGTAAATGATACGTGTTACCCTTTTATTATGGATGTCACAGCTCTCTTACTCCAAAGCTGTGAAAGAGAGACTTTCATTCCCTGCAATAAATGTTTCTTGATGTTGGGAGTTGGAGTTTTAATTCTTCAAAGAGCAATTAGCTGATTAGTTGCTTGATTTGCTGAAGCAAATGAGGAGTTGATTGTGTTTGCTCGGTAATGACTGAAGGTAGGAACAGGTTGGCAATAATAATGGGGGAGATTTTATTTTTGTTTGAGAGGCAGGATTTGGGATAAATGTCCGAAGTTTGACAGTGAGCCACTTCTGTCATCTTTTAACTTCTCCTAAATTTTGTGCTGCCTGAAAAAACACCTGTATTATAGGTGGAAAAAATAATAATACCGTGCTTCATCAAGTGAGTCCTTACTACAGGATGAATTAATTGGGTTTTTTGGATGTGCATGGTTATCATCTTATCTTGGTGCATCCTGATTTTCCTTGTTGTTCAGGAGCAGCAGGTACACAGCTTACCTGGGAGACACTGAAACTAGTAAAAGTAAGGGTGGAGTTCCTTGTGTGATCATATCCAAAAGAGCAGGCAGATAATTTGACTATAAGGCCAACCTGCTTAAGTGATATTAAAAACTTAATGAGGTGGAAATCATGATGATATAAGTTTCAGCAGTGGCTAATGTAAGATTCATCTCTCAATTTACTGGAAGCATTAAAGAAATCAGAAATCTGTCAAAGAACATGGTTTGTAATAGAGCCAGAATTTGTAGAAAGTGTGTGATGTGCTATTAAATCAGGATTTAAACTGTTTCCTCGGCTAAAAGGAGAGTTGCCATGTGAGCCTTTGGCCAGGGTAACTGGGATAAGCAGCCTTAAGGCTGTCTGGATGCACGACCCAGCTTAGAGGCTCAATATAACTGTTTCTTAGGGGTTTATTTCATGTGACACCATGAACTGATGGAGCAGTTCAACCCTGATGGGACAAGGTCTCTTCCCTCTGTACAGGTCTACCCACTGTTTGCATGGCCTTTGTCCTTGTGAGCTGTCCCTGGGCTGATGGAGCTTTCCACGGGGTCTGAATACATCCATTTTCATGTTGGGTAGTTCTCTGCTGTTGAAGCAACTTGAAGTGACTTGCAGAGGAGTCTGCTGAGCAACAGGCACAGGAAGGAAGGGCTGAGAGCTCTGTGTTTGGCAATAGCTGTTAGTTTGGCTCACCCCATCTTTGTCAAGCTGTGCTGTCTGTGACACCAAGGTGAGGGGTTTGAACGTTACCTGTGTCAGGGTGATGATCAGACAAGGTGTGTTGCACAAGACAATTTGGCTTTGAATCTTTCCTTCTTTTCCTGTGAGGACATTTGACTTGAAGGAAGTCTCATATCCTGCCTGTGTGCTTCCTTAAGGGTATTTCCCAAAGAATACAGGTAAGTAAGACCGTGAGTTCACTGGGCAGTCGTGGATGCAAAACCTGCCGTGGGCATCTCAGGAGATGGATTAAAAACGTGACAGAGACCATGCTGCTTACAGGCAGCGTGTGCAGACCTTATGCTTTGCATGAGGCAGGTAAAAACCTCCCTCAGTAGCTGGGAAAAGCAGGTCAGTGCAACACAGAATGTTAATCACTAACCAGCCAGCCCGAGATAAAGTGCCTCGTCGGATATGGGACGTACGAGGAGTATGGTTTCATCTAAGCAAGCATGTATTGCATATTAATGATGGGTAAATTGGCTTTCAGGGTGTGGAGAGAAATTAAAATAAACACTGCCTTCTGGAACTTGTCTGGCTCTTCCTTCTGCAGAAGCACAGGGTAATAACAGAGGAGCAGTTTTGCTCAGAAGGATTTCAGTTCCGTGTGACTGCCTGCTATGACCAGTAACCTCGAGCTTTGCCTTTCTTTGTTGAGTGCCAGGCAGCAAAAAGCTGTAACATTTCTTTCAAAAAATTGCCATGGAAGAAACTCCCTCTGATTATGTTATTTAGCAGGAACAAAAAAGGTGCTGTGCAATAATGAAGATCTTTAGTCTTTGCCTGGGAGATTTTCAGTCTGAGTTTATAAGGTGCTGTGAGGTGAAAGAGCAAGTACAGGTGACACAGAGGAGGAAAGAGCAGAGATGAAGGAGGGATGAGGATTATAATTAACATGATTAGACACGAGCTCATTTTGGTGATTCAGCTGAGGTGTTGAACCCTGTGTGGAGGTTGTTCAGCGTAGCCCCTCGTCATCCTGGCGGGGTGTGAGCAGTGTCGTCGTGTGTTCATTGGAATCAGCACTTGGATGCACTTTCCAGGATCTGTGTCATAAGGCCTGACTTTTTGGTGTCCAGGCCCTCTGTCCTGGGTGTCTGTGCTTTATTTCATATCTAACTGCATTTGTCACTGGGTGGATACTTTGGACTGTTGTCAGTGTTATCTGAACCTTTTATTTTGCTTTCCCCGCCTCTACGGCCGAGAATTCTCATGCCCTCCAAATATCCTTATTACTCATCGTCCACATCCCATTGCTGAGCGTCCTTTGGAAAAGCTGGGCTTTCCAAAAGCTGACTGGGAGCCCGGGGGGGGGGGAAGGACAAGCCCTTTTTCTACGTGCTCCCACCTAAATTATTTTTGATGGGACTTGAATTTCTCGGAGCAGGTGCCCCAGGACTGACAGCTGGCACCACACGCCGCGGTATCACAACAGTGGCCCGGGGAAAATGTGCTGCAGATGGCAGGGGCAGCTTTCCCCTGCGAGCTGGGAGGCATTGAGGGAGCAATAAGAAGAGCTGTCAAAGTGGTACCATGCCTAAATGGTTCTTTTCCCCCAGAAGAAATTTCATACTGCCCTTGTGTATGCTGATTGTCCTTCAGTGAAACCTAAGTGCTCTTTCTTGTTTTGAAAAGAGTGCTTGCTTTAAAGCTGGACAGGATCCATCCCATCAGAATATGCCTAGAAGTGGAATTTGGCAATAGTCCTGTTTCTATTCTCTAGCTGATGGGTGGCTGTCAGACTGCATGAATAAATTTGGTGTCTGGAGGAAGTAATGGTGTATATAATCCCAGTGCTTTAGGAGCAGCACTTGACACTCTCTCATTTCTTTATAGAGCTTGATCTGCATACAAAATGTGTGGTGGATGTGGATGCAAACAAGGTTATTCTTCATCCTGTAAACACCAACCTTTCAAAAGGAGATGCCAGGTAAGATTTTTTGAATTAGGAAGGTCGGGTTTCGTAAATTAAATATGAGCCTAACAACTAGGAAATGTAGGCCTTGATAGAAAGCTTTCAGTTTAAAAAATAATATATATTCTTTCCGCAGTGTAATTGCCATCATCCATAAAATAAGGCTGATTTTGTCACGCTGGGAAGTTGCTTTGAAAACCTTGTGCTTTCTGCATTTGCTTCCTGCTCTCCACAATGTTTTAGTGGTTATGGGTCCATGAACTATTTAACTTTTTTTTTTCTCATAATGCTGTTATGAAAAGCAGGAGAAATTTAAATCTGTAAAATAATTCGAGTGGGGCCCAGTTTGTCATTTTGGGATGAAATTAATTTTCATGGCTATTTTCTCGTAATGGGTCATGGTGTAAGAAGGGGAATGGGAACATGCTGGAGAGATTTAGCTCCAGGAGTTTCTTGACAGTGGGGCATTCCATGCATCAAAAATCCTTGGAAAAGTGAGTAAGGGTAGGGATCAGTTCGTGTCAGAACAAATCCGTTAAACTACTGTGAAACTGAAAAGTCATGTAATAATTGATAGAGTTAAGGTTGTGACTGTTTAATTTATTGCTTGATGCCAGGGGAGGAAATGAAAAAATGTGTGTATGAAACAAAATAACAGGGGTGCAGGAAAAGGCAAAACCTTACTGTTACTGGATATCTACAATCATCTGTTTTCCGGGGAAAAAAAAGGAAGAGGTAAGGGTAAAAGTAAAAAGGGTAACAGAAAGGAAAAAAACACATTAGTTAAACACATAGAAGAGCTTTGTTTAAATTTTCATGTGAAGCTGAACTGTATATCAGTTGTCAGTAGAAGTATTCATTAACTGATCTCTGATAATTTAAGGTTCTCAAACCCAAGTGGCAGTAAATGGAAAAGCAAAGAGATCATCAGGTGAAATATTTACTTTCTATTGTCATTAGCTGAGAGATTTATTACAGACAGTGGGACTGGAGCTTTAATAAGTTACTTAAAATCAAACAGGCTCTATGTGTGTGTGTGGGGGGTGTTTTTGTTTGTGTCGGTATCCACCTCCTCCAGAAACACGTGTATTGTTCAGCTGCCAAAAACCTGCGTTGATTTGAGCCTTTAAACCAGCTAAAAATGGCAGGAAATTGAGATTCTCAGAAGCTGAGTCGGCCACAGCTGGATTAAAAATGTTACTCATAGTTTCTCTAAAACGTGGCAACCAGTCAAATGCATGGTTTATCCTCCCTAATATGTGTTTAAAAATGTTCACAGGGCAAACACATCATGCAAATCATGCCCCTTGGCAAGGGAGGGATGGGTTGGCAGTGGTTGAGGTCCCAGACAAGGTGGTGAGCTCAGTGTGAGAATCCAGCCTGGGAGAGCAAAGAATACTTCATTTGCATCCTCACAAATAGCTATTGCTAATCTAGGCAGGAAGCATAGGAAAGTTATATGGGGTGATTTAATAGCAGAGGGAAACGTGGAGGCCCATGGACTTGCACTAAAGGTTTGCCTGCAAATGGTGAGACGACATATCTCAAAAATATAATCTCAGAAACACAGTTGGGATTGGAACAGGGTCCTATCCAGCACATCATACCCTTGGGAGGCTGCTGCTGAATTGTCTTGGCTTCTGCAGCTCCATCAGAGGAGTCTTAAATATCAGCTCAAGGAAAAGGTTTAGTCTTAGTTACAGGTTTTCTAAGTTTTGGGGGTGAATTCACCCTCAGGTTCTGCTTCTGTTTCCAGATCCATCAACTACTTTTCCTTGCGTTACAAAATCATTCCTTCTGATTTCAGACTGTTTTAGTGTCTAAAGTGAGCTGGAAGAGTTCTGGCAAACACAGAGTGCTCTTCACAGGGAAAAGAAAAGTAAATAATGCTGTAAATACACTGTTTAGGTGCTCGCAAGGCAGGACAGGTTTGAAAACCTTAAGAGCTTTCCTGTGTTTCTCATTAAGATGCCAAAGTCAATTTGGGAACTGGGAAAAGAATTTTAGAAACAGAACTCTGTGCTGTCACATCCCCACTTGTCATGACTCAGCCGTGCTCTGGCAGGGAGTGACATTTGGAAAAACAACCCATGACTTTTGGAAATACGTGGGTTTTTTTTTTTCCCCCACTTCCATCCTTTCTGGGAGAAACCAAGTCTGGGAGATGGGTGGGTATAAATAAATAGCCCAGCTTGGGGTGTTTGGGGCCTGACTGCTGGAGGTAGCAAATTGTGTCGATATAATTACCACTGAAACATTTTCAGGTCTTCAGAAAAGTGTCTCCACTGTTTCAGAAGTGGCGTTAAAAATTAAGGAATGTTCTGAAAATCCAGGTGGTAACTGATGGACCTCTATTTCTCTATGAACTGAATATATTATTTACACGTTTCTCTAGAGACTTGAGGGTTAATAAGTAGATGTAAAACACTCTTAAAAAAGAAGTCCCTTTTCATATGGCTTCAAAAATCTGGCATTCTCCTTAACCAAGAAATGACCTTTCCTGAGGTAGAGCAAGGCAGCAGTTATTTTATTGAGCAATCCTTGATGGGCTTGTGCAGGTTTCAGTAACCTGATCACGTACAAAAGATCAATTTTTAAATCTGTGTATGACCTCCAGGCTTTGCTACTAACCTTGGCCTGTTGGGGGGTGGATTTGGTTGAGCTGAGTGAAAATTAAAATTACACTGTGTGGAAACGGTCAGGCTTTTCTTTAGCTGCTTTCACCAAATTATTTGTGACAGAGCTTCGAGTTTTGTCACAATTTTCCCCAGATGACCTTTGATGTAAATGAAAATGTCCCCTCTTGAGGATGTGTGAACCTCCAGGATGGATAATATCATTAGCATGACTTGTCCCCTCTTTTGTTTGCCCTTGCTGAGCTGTCTGTTCTCTGCTCTCCCTGTTGCAAAGGTCAAGGCTAAAGTTCCTTTATCAACTCAGGGTTTACTCTGTGCTGCAAAGATTACTCACAGCATTATTGCTGCTGGCTGGGGCTTGGGAGAGGGTGTGAACTCATTTTGATTGAAGTGAATAGATAAGTCCTGGGCAACAATTGGAATGTTTATAGGAATCAATTTTTTTTGGAAAATCTCCAAACAGACTCTAATTACTCCAGGTTCCTTTACAGCCATTTTTTTTTAACTACAAATTTGCTTGTGCTGTAATTTTGTATTTCCCAAACAAAACCTCATAAAAAGACTTGATTTTTTTTTTTGACAGGTCAGACAAAGAAGTTTTATTATATCTTGCAGGCATAACTGTAATTGATGTGTAAGTGATATGAGCTCAGAGATCAGTTGTGTATTAGTCTGGCACAGGCCTATGAATCAGCCTTGATATTTGTAAAGCAAAGCATTCATTAAATCTGCCCAACAAACCACCTCTGAGCCTTTTTATTAAGAGAAAATGCATAAAAATGAAACAAGTGCTGACTTCACTGTACTTTTGTTGCACTTGGAGGTTTCTAGCTGCTTTCCCTCTTGTTTTGCAGAACAGAGATTCCAAAGACTGGCACAGGGTAAAAACTCTTCCAAGGAGTGAGTGCAGCTAAATGAAGCTGACAAGTGTGTTAAACCAGGCTGGGTTTTTCCTTTTCAGCTATTGTAATGTCTTTATAATTACTGCTTTGTAGTAGATAATTCAATAAATGAGGATATTTTTTAAAGATTTGCTTTTAAGGTATCTGCTTCTGGATTTAAACCGGTTTGCTGGGTTTTTCCTTTTCAGCTATTGTAATGTCTTTATAATTACTGCTTTGTAGTAGATAATTCAATAAATGAGGATATTTTTTAAAGATTTGCTTTTAAGGTATCTGCTTCTGGATTTAAACCGGTTTGCTTTTGTGTACCCACACAGACAACGTTTTTGGTTGTGAAGTTGTGATGTTTAAACTCAGTTTGGTTGTTTTTAAGGAGTTCTGGAAATGGAGAAGGGGTTTGTTATTATCTTAGACTTGAGGATTTTTGTAGCCTTGCAGCAGCTGAGCTTGATGATTCCTGCTTTGAGGAGGAACTGGATGAAGCCCAAGTATATTTTACTTAAAAAGGAATATTTTTATAAGATTCCTCTGCCATTCCAGTTCCCATTTTCTTTCCAAGACAAATGACAGCTCTGGAGAAGGTTGTGGGGAGATGGGGCTTGGAGCAACCTGGGATAGTGGAAGGTCTCCCTGCCCATGGCAGGGGGTTGGAATGGGATGAGATTTAGGGACCCCTCCCACCCAAACCATTCCAGGATTCAAGCAGATAATAAATTGCTGATTTCAGGTGAGTGCTGGAATTCAGGGAGTGGTTGGGTTGAAATGAACAGCCCAGTGTGTTAAAACTTTCCACAGTTTGTCTTTGGACTGAAGTTTTTTCTTCTTACAAAGAATCTTTTAATCCTTTTAAAGAAGAAATGAAGATTAGGACCAATTCTGGCAAAGATTTAGATATTGAAAAAATGCTGCCAGAAAACAAGTGTTGGAGTCTCAAGGACTAAGCAACCTTAGTTCACTTGTTTTGAAGGGTTAAGTGTGAAGTGAACAAATGGTAGCAAACACATGGAATTTTAAATTTTAAAACAAATAGAACGGGGTGTCCTTGCAAGGCCACACGAGCTCCCTGCTCCCCTCTAGCCTGGAATCTTGTGATGTGGAGGCAGGAGCATGTGGAGAGGCAGGATAAGCTCCTGCTTGGCACAGCCTGGGCAGTTACACAAGGTTGGGGCTGCACAGAGCAAGGTGAAGCCGCCTTTCACCTGCCTGGGATGTGTGGGAGACTCCTTAGCGTGACTCAAGGACTTCCCTTAAAGCTGCCTAAAAGCTGAAAATAAGTCCTGACTTACCAGGTCTTGCTGTGGGGAGCGTTGCAGACCTCGTGCTCCCTTGATAAGAATGGAAAATGCTAATTTTAGTGTGGAAGTGACTGAATAATGAGGTGGTAAAGCGTGCATGTAAATTGATTTCTTTTACCAAAATTATAAATAAGGGAGTGTGTTGGTTGGGGAAAGTGTATATTAAGTGAAAAACTTAATTA